TCAGAACCCATGTTTTTTTTTCCAAAGTTTTTAAGTATGAAAAAGATGATTTTGAAGATCAAGAAGAAGAAGGTGTTCATGAGGCTTCCCATGATTTGGATGAAGTTGAATCGAATACGAATAATGGGTTTTTGTTAGATGAGGGTTAAAATGGTAATTTATTGTCATTCAGAGAACAGTTACCAAACAACATTATTTTATTCAGCACTTAATCATTCTGACTCTCTTAATCATTCTGACCTCTTAACTATTCTGCACTAAATCATTCAGCAACTGCCAAACAGCCCCTTAGTTTTTTCTAGTCCGTTCTTTTATTCAGATTTGGTCCTTGATTCGTTTATGTGTCTCCTAGGAGGCCAGAGATTAAATCTCATCAAAGATGAAAAGGGCATGTGAGTTTATTTGTTGTATATAAATTATATACTTTAAAAAAATATAAAATGGTAATATTATTTCATCCTTTAACTATACATTAAAATAAGAAAGTTTATAAATATAGACATTGGATTATGTTATCAACTTACAATAATTGAGGGAGATGCATAATGATTTAATTTAAAACATATAAATTACTTCAACCGTTATGTAACAAGCATTGGAATCCGTGAAAAAAATAGTTAATGAGATGCGTAAGAAAGGATATCCACTCTTATATGCACATTAAGATGAGATGTTTACTCTCAAAAAAGATTTAAAAAAAATAATATTAAATCTTTAAATTATAAACTTAAACTAAAATATTAATGAACCGTTTACTAAACACTTATCCAGTAAGCGTTTATCGATAAAATTCAACACTATAACTTATTTACTGAGTAAGATTTTAGTCTATATTTACCCAGTAAGCACTAACCTTGGTAAGAGTCGTTGCACTCATTTACCGGATATAATCGGGTAAAATTCTTGATTCTTTTCATATTAATCCGATAAGATAATGTGACTTAGTAAATGCTTACCCAGTGTAGCGTTTGATAAACGAACTCTAAATGTTTATTGTTGTTTATATGAGGGAGAAATCAACGTCCTTCTAGACGTTTCGTAAACAAACTTGAATTTAACGTTGGAAGAGTGGTACCGGCGGTCCCAGATTTCATCGCTTTGCTGATTCACTCTCCAACTGTCTTTTACTCGTTTGGATAACCACAATCCCCATTTCCAACTCATCCCCACGTCTTCATCCCCTTATAAATCCACCCCACAAAATCCAAATCCACAATCAGTCATCAATCCATTTTCTTACTCTTACATCATCAATGGCTATTTCAACTTCATCTTCCTTCTTTACCTCCCCCAATTTCATCTTCAATTCACATCC